CTTGCAAACTTCTCTCTACTACAATCCCTCTCCTCTCTTTCTCTTTATTCCCCTTGCGTGCGTTACCCCAGCCGTCACTCCTATTAAAAAAATCCTCCCGGATCTGCTTCCGATATCAGTCAAACCAGTAGCAACTCCGTAGAAGCCGCGCGAGCCTCCTCTATTTCTGCTGCTCGAGCAGCCCTTCTTACGAATCCTGAGGTTAATCAAGCATCTATCATCTGCTCCTGCCCCTCCGCGAAATCCCTCAGATCTCGCATGATTTCGAGCTTATTCGCCGGATCCATGGCGAGGGTCTCAGTTTCACTGGCGGATGCAGGAGAAGAAGTCGTCATCTTCCTTGTTTCAATATCCTTCGCCGACAACAGAGGCAGATGGGTGTGGGTAAACGCGAAATCTCTAATATCCAATTGATAGCTTCGTCCAATTCTTTATACCCAATTGAGGGTGTGAATTTTTTGTTTCGTTTTTGACATAAGCAGCAGCTGTTGTTGTTTGTTCCTTCTTCGGATGTAATGCTTAGTTAGTTATATAGGAAAACAGATCATGCCTCAACAAAAGAGAGTGAAGGTAAGGGATTGTGTGTGAATTGGCTTCTCCATCGCATATAGGAAAACAGGCTTGTTCATCGCATCTCCTCCTGCAATTTCCTGGTAAATTGTGTGTGTGTGTGTGTGTGTTTTTTTTTTTTGGCATACCTGGTGTGGTTATCATCGCTGGTTGGTAGCAAGAGAGATTGGCAGTAATGACGGACGGGAGCAACGACGACGATTTGGGGTAGTGGTAGTGATTGGGGGTGGGGACGATGGAGATGAAGGGAAGAATTGATTTTTGTATTTGTATGATTTTTTATTTATTTTTAAATTAAAATATGACATGGCATCCATGTGACAAGTGTTGTTGAGTTGTCGATGATGTGTCCGTTGAGTTGGCAGCCAAGCAAGCATTCTGTTAGTTTGACTAACGGTGTCATTGATGCTGTCAAACTATGTAACGGAAATGGCTATATTTGTCATCGAACTTTCAAAATTCTGGCTATTTCTGGTATTTCTTTAAAAGTGGCTATATTTGTTACAACCGTTAAAGTTTTGACTATGCAAGTGAATTTGGCCAAATTTATATATAATTTTATCTATATTTCAAAGTTGAGTGGGGCTACAATCCCTTCTATCTACTAACATGGCTCCACCACTGGAGATTGGGACATTTTCGGCATTGTTCACATCCCAACTTCAACTACTTGTCCTGGTCTTACTCATGTTAATCTTTAATCCAGTAATGCTCTGAAAACATACTAATGCGGCCAACACATTAGAAACTTCTTCTTCATTGGCTTCGTTGAAAATGATTGCATCGTCAGCATATAACACGTGTGTCACCTCTCCTTGGTGTTTGGATTCATTAATATAGAAACCTGAAAGATACCCTGCCTCTTTGATTTCCGCTGCGTCGCCACCACTGAACTCTAGCCACCACAACGTTGTCTTAAGATAAACAACGTCGCTTCATAACATCGCGGTGTCGTTGAACTTACTCAGCAACTCCGTGGAACTTGTAACACCATCGTTGGGCTCACACGTATGGCCCCTGGCTCGCATTCTTGTTTTGTATCAAACAACATTGTTTCAAGTATCACGGCGTTGTTGGATCTTGTTCGCGGTGTCGTTTTCTTCCCCAAATAACTCAGTTTGTTTTTTTACTCGCGACATTGTTTTATATTAAAATTAAACACTGTCCTTTTCTAATATGCGGTGTTGTTGATACCTCTCGCGGCGTCGTTTTCAACTAAACGACACCGTCCAAAATAATCATTAAAAATATCAATGAATTAAACCGGCCATTCTTAAAACTTGGCCATTGTGATATTTAATTGAAAACAATGTCGCTCTTTGTATTATGGGCGACTTTGAACTCGCGTTGTACTTGACGACCCTTGGACCAAGCTCTTACCCACTTCGATATTGTTTTTAACTAAACGGTATAGCTTACCAATACCATAGCGTTGTTGATACTTCACGCAGTATCGTTTTTAGCTAAACAAAACACAACACGATTTCCTAGTATACATTAATCTCAAACGTCCATATAAGTTTAAATAACAACATAAACCCTAGCTCCCCAGGTGATTATAAAAAAAAACAACATAAACCCTAGCTAACATTCCAGATTTCAATCTTCTCCTTTTCTCGGCCGTATCGTCTTCTTTCCCTTCCTTTCTGTTCAGCCTATGTGTTTCTCACTTGGTAATGGCGTCGACACTCCTAATCCCTTGTCCACCCGCACTCAATTCTCCTCTTCAACAATGGCCGCCTAACAGTGATAGGATTTAGATTATTTTATTTCCTCCTTGTTTTAGGACTTTAATACACAATTAGTTTTAGATCTATTTTTCTTCGAAATGTTTCTTTTGTTTTCTCTTCTAGAATTGACGACGACAATGAAGTCATATGAAAGATTGCGGATGTTGCTCGGGTGATGCTACGTCGGAGTGGTATCTGCGGCGTTTCGGTAACGGGGACGATTGAGAATGATAGAACAAGCACCGGCAAACATGTTTTCTATTGTGATTTTGGTGTAATTTTCCCCCCCCCTTTTCTATTTGTTCTGTTTGTAAATTAAATGTAAAAACAAATTAGAATTTTTTTCGTAGATACAACAATTGCAATGTATTATTATTATTATTGTTATATCCAATTATGGATAAGTTCAATTGAGATGGCGTATTGACCCTTTAAAGAGAAAATGAGACATAATATATATTGTCCCCAAATACAAATTTGCCAGAAGCCTCCTAACAGACTTGAATTTGATATTTAAAGGAACGATATGTCGACTCTATAGAAAAAAAATGGGGACTATATATTATCCCATATAAGCACAACACAATCATGAAATCGATTATGTGGGATAATTATTTGTTCCTGAAAATGATGCTTAGGAGACGACTTATTGTCGTTACAGTTATAACTATAGGGACGACGTATTGTCTTTCATAAAAGAAAATGAGACGACGACTTGTGAATATTGGGGACGACTGTCATCCCTAGTAATAGGGACGACCTAAATTTCATCATCCCAAAAAAATAGAGGACAAGAGTATAGGGAACAACATATTGGGGACGACTGAGTCGTTTCCCAAAACTATAAGGACGATTTTTCCTATTTCTTCTTTTTGTAGTGATAGGGAAGAGTATAGAGAATGATTTGGCAGGAGAGGGGCGGCAGAAAGAAATGGGACAACCTTTCTACTTTTTTTTTCTTCTTCCAGTTTTGGAGTTCTTCTTCGGTTCTCTTTAGCCTAGCGATGGATTGGGAAGATGGGGAGCCCTTACAGTAAAGCACAAAAACTGAAACAGTAAAAGAGTAGGGTAATGTCTATTTTTTATCCAAACCTTTTTCGGATTCTTTTTTATTAGCCAAACCTATCGAAATACTAAGAATTAACCAAATGTTAACTTTCAGTTAGCAATTTTGTTAGTAATATTGACTTGGCAACATGATACTGATTTGGAAGAGACACATGAATGTCAACATTCCAAAATTTTAGTATTTTAACTAAGAAAAGAGTTAAAAAATTATTAACGATAACGTAAAAATGGATAATATTTTGATTCATTATGAAAGATTTGGATAATTAATAGTATTTTAATAAGTTTGGATAAAAAATAGAAATTAAAAAAATGTACCACTAATTATATAGAATAGAATAGAACGAGAGAAGAAAGCCCAAAGCCAGATAATTAGTGGATGGATCTTCTTGTCTATCAAAAAATATAAAAAATAAATCCAGATTCCAGAGAGGTAACGAGAAAAGTAACTTTGAAGTATGAATTTCTGCTTCTCCAAAAAAAAAGTCTGAACTTCTGGATCACTTGCAGTTGTAGAAGCTAATTTCAAAGCGTAAATCAATCGCAATCGCTGTTGAGGGAAACGGTATCGTTTCCATATAGATAGGTTAGATAGGTTATTGGTTCATGGTTGAACCGGTTAGATAGGTTAGGTGTTAACCAATGTTTAGTTAGTTGAGTTGTACTAGAGTCATATAAAAGGGAAAGTAATCCCTAAGTCCAAACCACGAATTCTGTTCTTCTTCATCAATTCAATCATTCTGTTAAGAGTTTGACATGGTATCAGAGCCATCAGGGCAATCTTGATTTCGTTTCTATCCTTTCTTCTCTGCAACAATGGCGTTCGCTAATCAGACTTCTACCTCGGTTCCGCAACCATCACCGATTCCATCCGTTCCTCCGCTCACCACTGCCGTCGATCTCGATCCGAACAGTCCGTTCTTCATTCATCCTGCAGAGAGTCTTAGCCAGCAATTGGTTCCTCCAGTTCTTGATGAACCCAATTACGCAACCTGGCAGCGCGCGATGATTCGAGCCTTATCGACGAAGAACAAGCTCCAATTTCTTGATGGCACAATCGCGAAGCCTCCTCCTGGCGATCCTCTCCTTCGTGCCTGGTCAAGAAACAACACTTTGCTCCTTGGCTGGATTCTTCGATCGGTCTCTCCGTCGATTGCTCTAGGGTTTTAGTGGTTCGAAGATGCGCTAGTCGTCTGGAATGAGTTGCGCGAACGATTCTCTCGCGGCAACAATTTCCGCATCGCTGAGCTTCAAGAAGATCTCTTTCGCTTCAAGCAGGGCTCTTAGTCTGTAAGTGCCTATTTCACCCAGACGACTACTTGGATGCATGAACTGGATAATTTCTTGCCGCTTCCACCTTGTCAAACTCTTAACAGAATGATTGAATTGATGAAGAAGAACAGAATTCGTGGTTTGGACTTAGGGATTACTTTCCCTTTTATATGACTCTAGTACAACTCAACTAACTAAACATTGGTTAACACCTAACCTATCTAACCGGTTCAACCATGAACCAATAACCTATCTAACCTATCTATATGGAAACGATACTGTTTCCCTCAACACCCCCCGCAAGCTGACCATGTATGGAATGGATGGGCAGCTTGGATATGAGCTCCTGAAAAATGGACACACCAACAGCCTTGGTGAAGGGATCTGCAAGTTGCTTCTCCGTTGGAATGTAGGTGACGTTGAGGAAGCCTCGTTGCATCTGATCACACACAAGATGGCAGTCGAGCTCTATATGCTTGGTGCGCTTATGCTCGACTGGGTTGGATGCCATATGGATGGCTGATTTGCTGTCACAGTGTACCTGTAATGGGAGCTGTACATGCTGATGCTGTCACAGCGGACAAATCAATACTAACTTTCTTCTTTTCCGGGGGCGAGTTTTTCCATCACACTCTCTCATTGTCATTGACCTCCGTCTCCCTCATCTGATCACTCTTTCCCCTTTTTCTCCCTTCTTCAACCCCAAAGCTCTTTCACTCTCCACTTGCGATTTCAACACTGTATTGAGCTGGGACTTTTCTGGATTCCTGATCTGGGTCATATCAAAGTTCCGACCTTTTGACGGTTTCAATCTGTATCGAGATTCTTGTGCGCTCTTAACCTCATGATCCCATTGCTTCTTCTTCCGTTGTGCATTGCTGAATCACTCGCATCTGGGTATGCTTGATCTCGGCCGATATTGTAGCTCGAGAGCTGGATTTGAAATATCATGAGCACTTATTCAAACAGCCCAAAGTCTTTTAATGCATATCCACGGGGCGATTTCGTTGATCTAGAATCGGCCACATTGAAAAGGCCCCGCAAGTCCAAGAGTTCTTCCTCTCTTCACCCTTTGCGGATGCTCAAATCTTTAGGAAATGGTTTCCAGTATCACTACAAACTGCATCCACTGCGGGTACTCTTCATTTCCCTGTTGTTTGGGGTATCAGTTCTCATAATTGTGTCTGTTTACCAGAGCCACCACAGATCAATGAGTTATTACCAGAGTTTGGATTTGGAACCGAAGGAGTATCCATATGCCAATCTGAAGAATCTTGTGATGGTTGCGGGACATTCTATTTATACGACTAGTAGTTGTGGTGATGCTGATAAGGAGGATTCTTGGTTTTTGGAGCCTTACCAGAAGCATCCAGGTCAAGCTGCTACATTCCTGGCTCACATACAAGAAGGGGTTGAGAATGTGGCAAAGGATAAACAAGCTTTGCTTTTGTTTAGTGGTGGTGAAACTAGGAAAAATGCTGGTCCGAGGAGTGAGGCCCAGAGTTACTGGGCTGTTGCTGAATCGAAAAAATGGTTTGGTGAGTTCTTGCACTTCACTCACATTGTTTTGAAGCGGATTTCCAAGATAGTGTTTATGTGCACTCCAAGAATAACTTTCAAGCTTTTCATAGTTTAATCTCTTGTGCTTGTATTTACTCCCCAGTTGACTATGTCTAATGGCCATTTGATAATCTTATAAATATTAAATAGTAATTAATGTCCAAGTAATTGTTTAAGCAGTCTATGTATCTTCATGCACTATATATGGTTTCTCCATTACATCCAATTGGATTGCCTTTGAGAATTTAATTGTGAACTTCCTTCTAGTGTTTAGGATATCTGTCTCGGAACTCATAGGAAGCCTTCTTTTTGTTGATCTCTTTGGCTTGATTATGACACCGTTGCTGAAATTTGTAATTAGTAAGTTTCTCCCAGTTGTTGCTAAATGTGCTACTTCAAATAATAGACACCCATGCCAGCGTACCTGATCATATTTCACATTAGCAGCTGCCTCTGTGTCTTCAGGATGTCTGATACTTTACAGAATCCCACTCAGCATAAATGATTCATGATTCTCAATTGATTAACTTCCTCCTGATGTAGCACAGGAGACTCTAGTAGTTTTTCCAAGCAGCAGGATCTCTGCTTCTGCTAATCTAAGCTGGCTTTACTTGCGTGTCTGTGACGCACGCCAGAATGGAAAGGGTGAAAAGTTCATCAGTAACTTGAACCACTGTTTTTCTACAAACCAAGCAGCATATTCCTTTCTTAAGTTTGTAGGTTAACCTGTTATTGTCAAGTTCTACTGCATTGCATTGACTGTTGTTATTGTAATTTTGCATTAACCAAGCAATTACAATATTCTGCCCAAAATTTTATTGGTTTAAATCTTCCAAAATCTTAATCGGAACCCTTTGATGGTCACAGGTAATGAAGACAGTGTGAAATGGAGGACACTGACTGAAGAACATGCAAGAGACAGCTTTGAAAACCTTCTGTTCAGCGTATGCCGGTTCAAAGAGCTTACTGGAACTTATCCCCAAAATATAACGGTATGTGCATCGCACTTACAGGTTTTCTATCTGAGGTAGAAAGGTCCAAATGGCGAGATGCCTGCTGGCAGTGTATTTGGTATGCCAATATTTAGCCTTAGAAATAAAACAATAGAAAGTAGTTCATTACCTTTGCTCGTGATAGGGGTTAGCAATTGGCATGGGCCCAGTTTAGTTTAAACTATACCTGATTAAAAAAACCCCAAACCAACCTGTATATTGCAGGGGGACGCACTGTAAGTCCAATCAGTGAGTCTTTCCTGAGAACTGAATATTATGCAGTTTAGGTGCAGTTTGGGCCATGAGGCACAGTGAAAATGAGCTGGAAAACAGAATGGACTTGGGGTCATTTTGGTCAGCTTTCTTGGTTGTTAGAACACCCGTGGTTGCTCTTACCCTTAGCCTGTGCTATATGTAACCTTTTGTTAGTATTTGATGCAGGTGGTTAGTTATGATTTCAAGGAGGAAAGATTTGCTCAACTGCATCGATCATCAATTCGGTTCCCTGAGTCAAATTTCTTCTACTCTGGCACCCCAGCCTCACCGGCAGCAAAAGAAGCAGCTGCGAAAGGTGAGGCATTAGTGAGGTATCAGTTTCTAGAAGATCCATATGGCTGTCGAGGCTCACTCTGGCGTAAGAAGCTCGGTCGTGATCCATTCCATCGGTCCATCCCGTATCCGAACGGCTGCCCAGAAATCGATGGTCTGTTCAGATACTGTGGACAAACTCTCTATCCAGGTTCTCTTCCGTGGGATTAACCAGTAAAAATTTTCTCTTTAATTCTTCATATAGAGGGTAAAGCTAGAAACTTTTCAGCATATTGGTTGAGTAGATAATACAAAAGCTTGTTCTCTGCTGCACCCTTCTTGCATAGTGTTGATAATACATCATCATCTCACAACAATATTTTATACAGAGAAAACTAAGTCCAAATTAGTTCTATGCTTTTCTAGTTGCAATTAAGAACTATGATCGGAAATCTGGCAGTGAAAATACATGATGTTGCTGTATTTGGCTGAAACACTGCAAATCATTAACATTGATGAAATGAAAGACCCATTTTGGCTTATGGTTCGAGCTCTACAATGGCTGCTGGTAAGTATGTGGTAGTTGTATATATGAACTTCTACCAACAGAGAATTAAAAGTTAGGAAGACCCCTCTTCTTTTTTTTTTTTAATGTGGACCAACATCTGTTCGAACTTCGAACTGGTTGAAGTATCATAGCAAAATAGTGATACAACAGCATGAGTTTGGTCTTTAAAATGCAGTTCAACCAGTACCATCAGTTGATACGATACATTATCACAAACATTAGAAATTCAGGGTCGGTTAGTACTACACTGGACTGGATGAGATAGTGTTTATTCCATCCAGCAATTGATTGAAGCGTTTGCATTTATAAAAGAAAGGACATAGTAAAGGATTATTAAAGAAAATGATACACAATTGTCAAATTCTCCCATTGAAGGAGGCATCTTGACATCTCCAAAGTTGCAGAGAGTGACTACCGACTCTACACTTGCCCACTATATCCAGTGCCCTTCATAACAGAGCAGAGCACCCAGAACTCTCAGCCACAGTGGCCACGACAGCCTCGCCAACACTGAACCCACCGCCTTTAAGAACGCCGGCGAGCAATTCCCCACGGTCCATGAAGAACTCGGTCTTCACTATCTTCATGCTCTCATCAACCTCAAACAATCCCATTCCAAACACCTCAATCATTTCCCCGGTTGGAGGGTAACCTTTGTACGGACCTTCCATATAACCCCAATGCCTGTACTTGAATGCAAATTACTGGAGGATCGGAGGAAACTTGGATCATCAATCTCCAGAGTAAACCCGCGTGGGAACACGGTCGTGATTGTCGAGTGAGATGTCCCTGCGGTTACTTCGGCAGGGTTGTAGGCTTGTAGCCTCGTAGGTTTTTTTGGTAATGGATTAATGATGTTTGGAGTTATAAATTGTAGCTCTCTTGAAGTTTCCATGTTTCTTCCAGGTTGGTCCCTTTCCTGCCGTTAATGCTTAGGGTGATTCTCTCGTTCATTTGACTTGAAATCAGCTGGGCTAACCTTGTGGATGATCTCCATTTCGTAGGTCTTCACATTTCATAGGTTTTCATTTTGGTCCAAAATGAGAAAAGGAAAACTTACGAGACTCTCTGAACCAATGATAATGAATAAGGAAATGAAAGAAGATCCTCATTTTATTAGAACAAATTAGTTCTTGATTGTCATACCTGTTTATCAGTGTCAAGTCTATTGCTCGAATTTATACAAAATCCCGAGCATTACCAGTTAAATTAAACAAGAAGTATGTTGGACATGTTTACTTCCATATGGCAAATCAATCTTCTTTTAAGAAAATATGGAAGATAATAATATAAGATTCATACTTGACTTAAATCTCAACAATTTAAATTATTTTGACAAAGCTAAATCTTCATATCAGGAAACATGATTACTACTACAGAAATGGGTGTAATGGGAACCATTTTTTTCTTTACCTAATTCAGCCCTTTTCATAGCTTGTCGACAACTTCATAGCTTGGAGGGGCACCAAACCTCCACATAATGTTCTTCTCGCCTTCTCCATGGAAGAAATCTTTGTACTTATCACTTTTGTATTCCGAAACTCTCATTTCCTCCTCTTTTTTTTTTTTTGGAACTATACATTTGCAAGGGGAGCTTTTAAAGCAATCTAACCTATTTTACCATTTCTTCCCTTACCTTACCTGAGCTCTTTCCTCTTTTCATAGCTTGTCGACAACTTCATAGCTTGGAGGGGCACCAAACCTCCACACAGTGTTCTTCTCGTCTTCTCCATAGAAGAAATCTTTGTACTTGTTACTTTTGTATTCCGAAACTCTTTTTTTTGTTGTTGGGAACTATGGATTTGCAAGGGGAGCTTTTAAAGCAACCTAACCTACTTTACCATTTTCCACCTTACCTGAGTTCTTCCCTCTTCGAAGAGCTTGTTGATAACTTCATATAGCTTGGAGGGGCCCCAAACCCCCACATAGTGTTCTTCTCGCCTTCTCCATAGAAGAAATCTATATACTTGTCGCTCCGAAACTCCCATTTCCTTCCTTTTTTTGGGAACTATGGATTTGCAAGGGGAGCATCTAAAGCAACCTAACCTACTTTACCATTTTCCCCCTTACTTGAGTTGTTCCCTCTTCGAAGATCGTGTCGATAACTTCATAGCTTTGAGGGGCACTAAACCTCCACACAGTGTTCTTCTCGCCTTCTCCATAGAGGAAATCTTTGTACTTGTCGCTTTTGTATTTCGAAACACTCATGTCTCCTTTTTTTTTTTGAACTATGAATTTGCAAGGGGAGCTTTTATAGCAACCTAACCTTGATCTTATTTTTAGAGGAATGTGAGGTTTTTTGGGAACTATGAATTTGCAAGGGGACCTTTTTAATATCTTGTGTCCATCTTGTTCATCTGTCCCCTATCTGGCGGCAATTGTTTGAGCCGAGAATATCCAATCAATATTATTCCCCACATGTCTGAATTCCTCTAACTGCCTTACGTCAACGAACTACATAAGAAACTTATGGTTTTTGGCGCTCGCTAGTCCTCCTACGATCAAGTCAAAAGATTGCTTTCAGAGAGAGAAGTGCTAAACTTTCTGTTTATAATGAAAGAATCCAACCCCTCAATTGTAGTTACATTTCACCTATTTATATCAATGATTGTTCCGACAAGGCTCTCGTTTATCTGCCATAAGTCAGGGCCACATTTAATGATATATACCCTCCTACGGACATACGTCTCGACAACAACCTGCAAACAACAAACTTTTCTGACTCATGACGTAATTCCCTGCTAGATGTTCGTATTTTTCTGGAGGCTAGCGCGTCTTTAGTTACGCACCTCAATGATCTGCAACAAAGCTAGCTAGGGTCTTGTTCATGGGCTTGGGACTGGCACTTGGTCCTTCTCTTAGCTTAAATGGTTGGGCATATTCTAGGTAGATCCAACATATATGTTATCCCAATTTGACTAAATTAGCCTTGTTTCTAATGTGATCAACATGGATGCTCATATGATGGGACTATGAAATAAATAATTGTTGAAGACTAAGGGGTTGTTTAGAGGATGAAATTTGAAGTGATTTGTCTAGCCAAAGCAAGTAATGTCAAGAACTCAAGATAAAGTTTTCTTTAGTTAAATTTGAGATAGAATAAATGTATTACCATTTTATGGACTCATCTACAATCACTCAAAATGAGTGTTTATCAATATGTATCAAAAGGTAAAATTATTAACAAGGAATTGTCTACCCAAATTTTGTCACTTAAAATTTTTATTTATCCAGTATTGCCATTATCGACAACTCATCTCTCCTCAGTGCTCACACTCGAAATTTTAGATAATAGAAAAAGGAGAACAACTCTCTTGTTGAGCTTGGCGATAGTGGTTGCTTTCGATTTCGCCTCCGCCGGCGGTAGCAATTCATTAAGTAAGTGACTCGAACCTAACTAAACATTCTCAATCAAAGGCCAAGCATAACCAACGACCGGCTGTAGTATATGATAAGCAAAAAATAATAGTTGTTAAGAAACTAACATAAGTACACTACCCTAACCACTACTCTAGCTAATTACAAGGTTGAGAGCTCACTTAGGCATGAATCCCCCTCAATGTTGAGTACTACCCTAGCTTGATTGAATAAATACTTATACCATTGAGAATTCTAGATTAGATTGGACCCCCGTTTTGAGGTATCCAATCTCGCTCAATACCACACAACCGACCTAGGAAATTGAGGTGTTCACAACCAACTCCCATGATTGGACAAGACTCAATACGACACTACGAATCCTATCACACTCGTTCAAAGATCCATAATGAGTGAGTGAAGGTATTCTATTCAACCTAGAAAGATATTCTTTCTTCTAGGTCAAAAACTCAATTGACATGTAGTGGGTTCAAGTCTCATGCAATTTATCATAATTCATAAAGATCAATCAAATAGATAATTGGAGTAGTCAATCATAGGATTTTTCACGTACATCAACATTCAAACCAAAATCTAGAACTAGGGTTCATCAATCTAAGAGAAGAAAATTTAATTCATAGAGAAGAAGAGAGAGAATAGAGTAAAGGGTTTAGAATCTTCAATCTTCAACTTCTAGTGGATGATCTTCAAACTCCAATGATGATTTCTACCTCTAAAATAGCTCCAAGAACCCTCCTAGGTGATTCTCTCTAGATTCGCCCTTCGGGTGTTTTGGGGTAAAAAAACTCAGCTCTCTTTGCTCAAAACCTGTTGCTACCGATTTATACCCGCGATAGTGCACACTTCACGATTTAGTGTAGTGCCTCACGCCCTCAAGTAGTGAACTTTACACATGACAATGAAGTGCACAATTCACCGTTTTTGTGTAATGTTCACGCCCTCATGCAGTGAACTTTGTGCTAGGCCACGAGATGCATGCTAGCTAATGGAAATGTGTAATGTTCATGATTTTGGTGCAATTTTCACTCCCCGAGACCGTGAAAATTACCCTCAACCGTGAACATTGCAAAGACTCCATCTTTTGGCTCGTTTTGACCTCCGAATGTCTTGGAACTCGTCCCTAGGCTTCCCATTCGTACTTAGACCTGAAATATGACAAAAGAAGCACAACCTAGCATAAAATGGGTCGAGGAATGATGATTACCAAGTCAAACACTCAATATATGAAGGGGTAAAACATGTACAATCAAGCCCGAATCAAACTCCCCCAAATTTAACTATTTGCTTGTTCCCGAGCAAACCTACTTAAATCGGTACAACTTGATAGACAATCACAATGGTATGCACTATAGTTCATTGCTGGCACTTTCAAAGTCAATCAGAGACAAGAAACTTCACTTCGGCCTCAATGTGATAACACAAACTCGAAAGATGACCTTTCTGACTAAAGAGGTTTAGACACTTCACATGTGCACTAGAGGACTCTCAAGAAAACATGTCAAAAGCAATGGACTCCATGGTGGTGCTCATGCTTTTCAAAATAGGACTCAAACTCTCGATCCTTAACTTAA